AAAATTAAAATAAACTATAAAAGGGGGTCGGCAGAAACAAGACCGACGCAAAAACGAAATACAAAAAAAAAAAAGAAAAAGAAAATAAATAAAGTTAAAAACAAAAAATAAAACAAATTAGTCCACAGCTGAAAGTAAGTAAAAATTGAAACCAAAAATATACTCAATATAAAGAAAACAAACTTTGTTAAAACAGAAATAAAAACTTAGCGTCCTCGTAGCTAATCAAAAGCTTGTCAATTAGAAAGAGCCCAACGACATCAAGGAGGCGGTCTTCCTAGTATTGCACAAAAGTACAAATGTGGCACAAGGCCAATATTTGGGCTGGGGAGGACCTGTTATTCGCTTGTCCTCACGATAACTTAGCTAGCCTCAATCACTGACCCACTCGCCTGTTCATTTCACCAAAACATTTTGTCTACACAGCATTGCCTTACATAGATACCATAATACCACATTTAATCTAAGAATTCCTTCTTAATCTTATATATACAATGTTTGTGGAGGTCTGGGTTGATAAAAATCTAAAAATAATTCCCCAATGTTCTTGATGTAAATATTTATCTACACAACTAAACAAAACTCGTGTTAGTAACGCCCCGACAACACGTATCTTCATGTCAGAGATAACAGTTTACTGGGCGAAAAAATACTGCTGGATTAATAAAATGATTTTCATACGTCCATTCTACAATCACTCCCGCTCTCAGATTTAAGCACAATAATTCATCATCAAAACAAAAGAAAAAAGGTTCCTGATTCCACTGACGATTCTCGGTGCCCGTGTTTATGTATTTGGACGAGTTCAGTTCTTCTTCCAGGACGACGTTTTCATCTCCACAATAAAAAAAAACCTTAGAAGAGGCCAGTAAAAGAAAGTGGGTTATCTTAAGCGAAGTAAGATTGACAACTTCAAATGAGATCATACCAAAAGAAGAGAAGTCCACCTCGACGTGATATCATAGGTAGTAAGCGTTTCTCGCTAGAAAAATGAGTAGTAAGTTCGATCTTCACTGGGTGCCCCATATACTTTCGGCCTTGCGTCACATCTAAGCTGCGCTTACAAAATCATTTTTGGGTATCTCCAGCCTTCAGATTTTTACGGTCCGCTGTTAAAACTCTTCCCAAATATTTAAATCTTTATTTATCCAATTCGTAGAACGCATCTTGAGATCTTCCTTTGGCAGACGACATAATATTTTGTCATATGATACCATATTTTTATGGACAGTCGAATCTCTTCTACAAAGGGAGGGAAAAGTAATAAAGTATACAAAAGATAACTTTTCATCTATTAATTGTTCACCCAATATAAAGCCCAAAAACATTTAAGTAAAATGATTATTGCATGAACGTAATAGGGCGTGCTAAGATATGCAGATTATAAAGTTATGTGGGGAAGATAACAGTAGACCCCCGCCCCAGCAGTCTAGGAAACATCTCCTCATCGACTTGTTCGGCAAACTAGTAAAGAGGTTATACTTAAAATTTGAATCAAACTTTTTTTATGCGTCCAGAAAATTCACGCACGGAGTCTGTCTGCGGCTATGCAAAAAAAAAAAAAACTAAAAAAAAAGAAGATATTTTTAAAGGAATTAACTAAAATCCGTATCAACAATTAGCATGGCGACTATACAATTTGGCATGTTTCTAATATGACTAAGAAGAAATCAAATAAGATGAATTATATTCCACCTTGTAAAATTGTTTATGTGATGAAGACGTCTCGTTACAGATACAATGGGTGAGCCGAAATTATAGGGAATTATTTAAACGTAAGACTACACCACTTCGTAATCTACCTATTGCAGTTGATTCGGAGAGAGAGGGAGAGAGAGAGAGAGAGATTGGTTCGTTTTTTATGGAGATTATTTAAAAGCAGAATATATTTTCAGTTTGTAAGAAGATCTTATTTTGCGGGAGGGCAGGCGGAGCTGATAACGATAGAGGTGGAGTCATAACTTTCCCAAGGATATTTGAGCGGGTGATTATAACGAACCCGAATGGAATTAAAACTCGGCTTTGCGAATAACGATTCTGAACCATTATTCATAATATCACCATCATATCCAAGCTGACAACACCTGGCATTCCCAATCGGTCACCCATCTAGGTACTGACCAGACTCGACGTTGCTTAACTTTAGTGATATATATATATATATATATATATATATATATATATATATATATGAGAGAGAAAGAGATAGTTTAGTTAGTGAGAGAGATATATAGAGCGAGAGAGTGATATGTATAGAGAGAGAGAGAGGGAGAAAGAAAAGAGGAGTATATATATATATATATATAGAGAGATAAAGTGGGGAGGGATATATATATATATATATATATATGAGAGAATCTAATAACAAACTGTATATACAGAATGCCATACATGTATGGAAAGTCATCTGGGGATGAAAACAGCTTCCCCACCTTAAAGTCAGGTTCGCAGAAGATAAGAAAGCTATAACTGTCGGTGAGGTTGAGGAATCTAGTTTAACTGACCATATCTGGAGGGAGAAACGTACACATTATCCCCTTTGGGTCGAGATAATTGACAGGGAAGATTGCTGAGGTGTGAGTAAGTCGAATGAAGTTGCATATACTGGTTTATCTTAAGACAGCCATTCAAAGAATTCAGTTTCATGAGGTTCTCTTTGAATAAATCATGCAGGCAAAGATCGAAGAATATCTCCACATGATAGGTTGCGGGGGTGAGCTGCACGCGTTACTGAAGAAATGCAAGGTTTCGCATTATGAGAGTTGCTATTTGGATATTTTTCAAATATAAGAATCCGTCAAATACTGAAAAGGGAAAGTCTCTATTATCTTCACCGGAAGAGGAGCAGAGATTGGATTGTGTCACTGTCGATAACAGTATTCGAATGTCTGAAAAATTATCATATGGAATATTAATTGTTTCTTCTTTTTCGATGTGTGTTGTCCCTTCAGGGCATGAGCGTTCATGGCTCTCCACAATTTCGCACTCTTTATGGTTCTTAGAAAATTTGACTCTACGAGATTTCTCCCAGTCCTTCTCTGCCAACCATTTACACAAGCTTCTTAAGCAGGTTACGCGCTGTTTTTCTTTATCTCTTTTACATTCAATATGTCCTGTGAGTATCATATTTTCCAAGTCCTCTTTCCTCATTAAGTTCCTTAGAAATTTCATCTGTCTCTTTCTTGTGCTAATTGTCTTTTTTGTTTCCATTTTCTTTAAAATTCCATTATTCGGTCCATGGTATTCTCAGCATCTTTCCGTAGAGCCACATTTCTATTGCCACAAGTCTCTTCTTCATTCGTGATGAGATTGTCTAGAATTCACTGCCATATAAGAGGATGGATATTGCATAAAAGTTAAATACTCTTTTGTTTTTTTCTAACAAGATTTTCCTGTAAAAGATTTTAAAATGGAATATGGATTACACTATTTACATTATTCGGACTATTGTCCTCATCTTTGTCGCCATATTTATTACAACGTTACGGCCGTTGTACGCTCGGTCCTTCTTCAGTGGTTGTAATGTCGAACTGAACCCTTTATTTCACTCACTGGGGTAGACTGTTCTAGTTCCATGTGCCATGTTTTAATGGATGTCAGTTATCAGTTACTCTCCTGTTAATGGGTCTTGTCACTGGATCTGACTAACGCCTCAAGGACACATAGCACAGTGGACAAAGTAGTATATTTCTAGTACTTGTAAAGGTTTTTATAGTTTATATGATATAGAATTTTGTGGTTATTGATAAGCATTCATCGGAATTCTTGTATTTCGTTGTTGTATTGGTTATATATATATAAGTATAGGATTGGTGTATACAGAATAAATTCCAATAACCAACAAATATTATTCTTAAAAGAGTGCTCAATACAGAGTAGAGCAAATATAATTATTTATTCAAAAATTATAACATGAATAAAACCCCATTATTCTACATTCAATGTAATAACTTGATAAGACACCAGAAGTGTTGAAACAAAATGGCTTTATTTTAGTGATTTTATAACATATTTATGTCAATTTTCGAATAAATAATTATATATATATATACACACAACTAGCGGCGACAGTCTGTTTCATGCTTAAAAGCAATCTCCAACGTTAGTCTGAGGATTGCGTTTAAGCATGAAACGGACTGTAGCCGCTGGATATTAACGTCAATGTACACTTTTATATTTACATACGCTCTGTCCTTGATATTGAGTACTGTACCTCTCTCTCTCTCTCTCTCTCTCTCTCTCTCTCTATATATATATATATATATATATATATATATATATATATATATATATATATAATCGTACATAGAAGTCAACACCCAGAGGCGACAGTCTGTTTTATGCTAAACGCAATCGTCAGGCCATGTACGCTGTTTTTTTGTTGACTTTATATATATATACATATATATATATATATGTGTGTGCGTGCGTGCGTGTGTGTGTGCGTGCGTGTGTGTGGTGTGTGTGTGTGTGCGTGTCAGTGATGCATTGTGGGTAGTCTATTTCATTGTTGGTCGTCTGTTGTATTATTCTGTCGTCTTTGGGTGTTGACTTCAATGTTCCTTTTATATTTACATACGCTCTATGTCTGACATTAAGCATTTTAACCAATTATTATAGCATACCTTAAAATCTATATCTTTATATATATATATATATATATATATATATATATATATATACTCACACACATATTTTACTGAAAATACAAAATTACTGAAAATTGCTTACTGAAAATACAAAATTAGAATTAAGATGTAAAATAATGAGTTTATTCATTACTATAGGTTCGACAAGATGGCTCAACCTGTATTAAGCGTTTGGAAACAATTTTGATTGTATAATCCACTCAACGTATTTTTGATATCATGGATGATCGCAAAATGAACAAATCGTTAATCTGGTGTCAAATGTATTAAGATATTTTGATGAAATATTTTCAATGAAATATTGACCATGTGTACCTCGTCAATATTTCATTTCTTTTGCTTAGTACTCTTTCGACCATATAACGTTGAAACTCTGCTTCCCGTACGATCACCAAAGTTAAGCAATGTCCTGCCTGGCCAGTTACCTAGATGGGTGACTGCTTGAGAATAGCAGGTGCTGTAAGCATGGGTGCGTAATGGATAATGGCTCAGAAGTGTTAATCGGAGAGCCGAGTTCCAATTCCAGTTGGGTTCGTTACATTCACTTACGCACAAATATCCTTGGGAAAGGCATGAATCCACCTTTTGCCTCATCAGATAATAGTTAATTAGCAAGACTTGAATCACTATGCCATTATTATCTCTAGTCTGGTTCTTTATATTCACTTATGACCTGTAAATACCGTTGGGAAAATTATAAATCCACCTATCTCACCAGGTTATGGGTTAATTAGTACCAACAATAATCAATAAATCATTATTATACCCCAAAATTCTTACAATCTAAATGTATTTTCTGTCTAAAAACAACCTGAAAAGTGTTGATAAGCCGTAAAAAATAAAGCCGTAAATTTGTCATAGGTGGATATGGTTCTGGATATTTCTCTCTCGATGTATTACACCCGCATTATAGCTCTATTCTTTTTTTAATGGTATTCCATTTTATCAGTGGATGTATGTTTTCTCTTACTTTAACGTACCATATATGTCTCGATATGACTTTGCTATTTTTATAACTCTCCGATTTGAAGGATGTATTAAATATAGTTTAGGAAAACTCGATTTAGATATTTCAGAGTGGCTCTCGAATTTAACAATGACTCTGTAGATTATATTTTTGAATTGACAGTTGTCATTTAGAGGGCAATCATTGATTTTCCTGTAAGCACATTTCTTTGTCCTTGCTTAATATCTGTTTTTATGCGATTTAATTAGTCTTTCCACGCTGAACATACAGCTAAAATTAATTTTTAAAGTGTTTCTTTTAATTATCTCCATTCTCGCAGATTTTCCTGAAAAAATTCCGGTTGAGAAATGTATGAAACAGCTTTGCCAAATGTAACCATTTTAAGTTCTTCCGTGATATAAAATTACGTCGACTAGATTATAAGGTAAATTTGTTTATAAACGCTTGCTGCCTGGTGAGGCAAATTGGTGAAAATATATTTGTAAGTACGCAACTATTTTCATTTTCTTATATATATGTGGTGGTATACACTCCCGTAGTATTCGACTATTTGACATTTTCTACTGGCCAGAGTGAGAACCTATAGCTGCCTATCACGAATAGGCAGGAAGCTTCTATTGGCCAGCGTGAGAGCCAACAGCTGACTGACACGAATGTTAACTAGCATGCTAGCATGCAAAAAAATCGATAGCTGCATTCGTCACAAGTGGGAAAAAATTTAAATCTCCATGGCACTTTACTCCAATTGGCTCATTCGGTTGCTTAAACTCAACGTTGATTCTGATTCTGCTGAACTGGGTTGGGTATGAAAAAGTATTTGTTGTTAACATTCTTTTTTCATTCGGTTTTTCCAGTTACGAGTCTTTTTTAAAGCTGGTCGTTTTGTGTTCATTTTGTTTAGTTCTTTTTTCGTAATAGATTTAATGTTTAGTATAGAGCTTAGAAAAAATTCGCAGTGTGAGATAGGCAAGAAGTAAGGCATGTAGCAACATCAGCACGGCAAAGTGCACTCCTTTAAAGACAAGGAAGGGCAAAAATATTTTAAGTCAAGTGATAGCGAATGCTGTATGTCGTACGATTTTTGAATTAAGCACGGGCAACGCGAGCCATGCTGCTAGTACACACACACACACACACACACACACACACACACACATATATATATATATATATATATATATATATATATATATATATATATATATCACTTTAAACGCTATTTTTTAGTGGATACTCGTATCTGAGTAGCCGCTCGGTTTATTTATTACACACTATATTTATTTATTTTCGTCTATTGGCCTGAATGTTCGAGAAATCTTATTAAAGAAGAATTTTGCTCACTTCGGCAGGATCTAAAATCTCTCCTCTCAGAGAAGAGGAAGCTCGCCTTAATCAACTTGGCCACGAAAAGCAATCGATCAGGCAATGCCAAATTTAATGCTCATTTAGGCCGGTAGGAGAAAATAAATCAATAAACGTAGCGTCTACTCAAATAAGAGTATCCACTAAAAATAACGTTTAAAGCGATTAAAATCTTTCGGATTAATAAAAATATTAATCCTTTCTAAAAATTGTCTTTGTTTACGTTAGGATACGAATCTTTGTAGATATGAAAAACTTCGTCAGATTCTATAACAAGAGAAATTTCGCTTGAAGGGACTCTGATAGAACATTTGGACAGATTTTACACACTTTATGTCCAGAAAAGAAAACAATGAAACAAACACACGAAAAAATAAATTAAAAAAAAGCTAATAATAATAAAAAAAATAAATAAATTAAAATCGCAGTACTTTGTCAGTCGTTTTAACAAAACTTGGACAAATACCCACATATATATATATATATATATATATATATATATATATATATATATATATATATATATATATATATATATATATATATATAATTGTGTATTTGGGTCATTTATACAAGTTTATACTATTATAGATAGTATAGCTGGCCACTCATATTCGAGGATATCCGTCTACTGGGGCGGCCATTGCAGAAGCTTGCTCACCTTTGGTTTATACTGAGCCTACCTTAGTTACAATTTCTGTGTGATCTAGCGTGATCAACAATTTGAACAAGACCAGCACGCTTAAGCCCACGGCTACGATGACTCGCGACTTCGTACTATCACAGCTCTTCTGTCTACCCAATTTCATTCATAAAGCTTGGGTCAACAGCGAACCAAAGATGCCGCACGCTGGGATTGATCCCGCCAGTCCGATAACATCAGCAAGTCTGCTTCCTGACAAATCGACCATGTTGAGATTCGAACTCGGGGTCTCATAATCAGAATTCGAACGTTCTAACCACTTGATTACATCTCGATATATAATCTCTGTGTGTGACAGTTTGGTTAAAGAAATTGCTATTTGGTTTTGATGGCTGAAGAAAATTATTTATTTTTCGTTTCTGGATGATAATTTTGAAGAAATATGAATGCTCTTTAACAAAACATAAAAATATTTCTTATTTTTATTTCCTTACAAGCGCAATTCCAGCGACTTTGAATGACAAAATAACTCCCTGAAAGAAAAATTCATGTGAATTCAAGTCGACATTAATGCTAGTAGATAAATTTATTTGAGAGTTTTGTAATCAAACTGAAGATAAGAGAATCTGATCTGAAAAAAACAAAAAAACAAAAACAAAAATAAGACGGTTTTTCGAGATTTATATGACATGGATTCTCCAGAATTTGTCCTCTCAATGAAAAGATTTAATAATCTATAAGAAGCTTTGTTTTGTTAAATTTGATTAAAATTTTAATTGAAAATTGAAAATACTCTGCCAACTAAAATAAGCTTCGCCAGTATTTGTTGATAAACCGAAAATGAACAAAAATATAACAAATGAAGTAAGTTTGTTTTTTTTTTCAGGTAAAATTTAATTTAATATGAGAATTATTTGAAGCTTTTTTTTTCTAAGAGTTGAAGTTCGAAAATTTTTGTCGTCAGATTAATGGAGAAAATCACACTGTTGGCCTAAAATACGTAACGAAATGTCTAGATATTTTCTAGGAAGTCTTCTAACAGAGAACGCAAAGGGCGACACTGAGATCCGAAGACGTATTGGGATGACCAAAAATAAATTCAAAAAGCTAAGTAGAGTAAAAAGAAATGCGACAAAAAGATGGTACTGAACAGTTACGTGATATCTATCCTCTTATATGGCAGTGAATGCCAGACAGTCTTCTCACAGATGAAGAAGAGACTTGAAGCATAGGAAATGTGGTTCTACAGAAAGATGTTCAGAATACCATGGACGAATATGTCAGCAACGACGAAGTTTTAGAGAAATGGAAACAAAATGAAAACTCATACAAGATCAGGAAGAGGCAGTTGACAATTCTGTGGCATGAAATGAGTAAGGAGGGCTAGGAAAGTCTGATACACACAGGGCAGATTAAGGGAAAAATGGACACAGAAAAACAGCGCGTCAGATACTTCATGGGCTTGAGTAAATGGATGGCAGAACAGAGTTTGGGGGAAATAACAATAAGACAAAACTTATTATGAGCTTTAAGAAACAGGAAGATGTGGAGGGCATGTCTTAAAGAGATACGGCACATAAATATATATATTGAACTATGCCATTCCTAATTTTGGGCTGCAAAATTCTATGTTCATCAATTTTTGGTGCAAAAATTACTATGCCTGGTCAGGTTATCACAATCAATCAGATTGTTTTTCAAACAGATAGCAATCAACTAATTTTGCATAAAACACAAAACATTCTCAAACTCCAGGTAGATGCGATACATACCATGGCATAAGACACACATACCATGGCATAAGACACACATCTCTTCATTTCAATTTAACTTTTGAAAATCATAGAACTGTAGAAATGGTAAAGTTACTCTAAAAATATTTCTAAAGACTACAGTTGTATTTTCAACCTCTTTTTTCTATATAAGTAATCCACCACACAAACCTGTATTCATAATTTTTCATTTTGAGTTTGGATATAAAACTGGCTAATTCTCATTTAAAGACTTGAATTGGTTTGATGGTAATAAAAAAACCCTGTAAAACAAAGGAATGGTCATCTTTTTTTTACAGGAAACTTACAACAATTTAAAGTAAAAACAAAGCAATGGAGATGAAAATGTAAAAGAATTTTTCCATTTTCCGTCATCTTTAAGAGGCTACTTAATCCGTTCATTATTTGCTTTGCGAATGATTTAAGAGAAAAAAAATTTTTTTTAGATTGGCCGAAGGAAAATCTCATCTGTCTGCGTTGCCGAAAATAATGGAGTGTCCAAAAAGGAAGAAAAAAATTGCTAATGTTTAACGGAAAAAAGTCAGCTACGTCAATGAACAATAAATAAAGACTTTTTTTTTAAGAAGACCAAAAGTCTTCGCACAGTAAATAAAATGAACGCTATAATCTAGAATAACATTGATTTAATTTACTAACTTATCTAGTCCGTTTATACATTTAATCAACAGCAAATAGAAATTCAGTTTTTATTATAAGAAC